GGGTTACCTTTCAAAGGATCCTTAATATAAACATTGAAATTGGTTAAAGCAAAAAAAGGAACTACAATGGAGACTGCAAGGTAGGGTCTGAATTTGGCACTGTGACAAAACAGGAATGGGGTTGGGAGGGCTTCCAAAAAGCAACCCGAAGCATGAACTGCTCAAGAAACACCCTACGAAGCCGACGCTCCTCGGGTTTAGGGTTCCGTCTCGTCTCAACAACCTGAATCTGCCGAAATCTCCAGTACAACCTCAGGACCCAAAACCCTAAAACCATATAAGGCGCCCAGAAACCCACTTCAATGTTTAGGGATTTTAAGGTTTAGGGTTAAGGGCCCTTACAACACACCCTTGCCGCTGGCCTAAGACCAGAAGCAAGTTCGACAGGATCGAGCCTTGGTGACAAGACTTAGAGTTTAGGGCTTAGGGAAGTTTAGGGGTGGGGTTTAAGGGATGTGTTGGTTGTGGGTTTTGGAAGATTGCAAGGGCCGTAGACCCTTGTTTTGATGAGAAGGCTTTTTGAAGCTGGCGGAGGGCGTCGTATCCCGAAAACTGATACGTAAGGGTTGGAATTGGGTTTCAAGGCGTGTTGGATATGGTTCTTGATTTTTGAAGTTGAGCTTTGAGTCACAGATACCAGGCTAGCGATGTGCAGCAAGCAAACGCTTTCCCTACGTGGTACCTGGGGATTTCCGAAACTAGGGGACCCTAACATAGTACTCTAAATAGTAGGTCCTTACTACAAGGACCCCACAATTAGGTACCCCTTAGTTTTCTGGACCTCCCACCTTGGTTCCCTACCAAGCACGCAGTGCAACTGGCTATTGGGTTCCTTCGAAGAGTCCGTGCCTCGGCCGTCGCTGTTTAGGCGACTAACCTAGGCCCTTTTTTGATTCCCCTAGGAGCCCGTCACTCCTGCAAGAAGGATCCTGAGAATGATCCTTCCCCAAAGGGTCCTAGGTACTGCCATGGGGGGCACGTTCCCATATCATAATAACAATTGAATAGAACAGGAACCCTACATGCTTTTATGTAGGTACTTTGGACCCTTTGGGTTCTGTAGCAAAGTCACATCTGAGAATTGTGCCTCCCATATCGTTGTTGCCGCAGCCAGTCTCTACAGCCCCGCAAACGCATATGTGTATCTGCAGCAAATCCCAGTTCCTTGTAGTGGCAGTGTGGCAAGTAGAAGCCGTCGCAATACGAGTAGGAGCAAGAGTAGGAGGAGGAGGTGGAGGAGTAGGAGGAGGAGGAGGAGTGGTAATACAAGGTAGGTAAACAGGTAGGCAAATAGGCAGCAAGAGGTGAAACCCAACTCAATTTGATGCCCCTGCCACAATCAAGCTAAGAAGCCGATCAAGCTGCCCTGCACCACAGTCACCAAGCCTGCCTTGCAGAGCTCGAAAGGTTTCAGATCAACAGCCCTGAACCATGAAACCCACGGTTTAGGGTTTACGGTTCAGGGTTGAGGGTTTAGGGTTTAGGGCCCCCAAAACCTTCAAACGAGAGGCGGTCAGCAACGGTCCCGATTATCCCGAAAAAGAAGTCTAGCCTGGGGCTTCCAGCTCTGAAGCTTCAACACTGAACCCGAACAGCCTAACCCGTAGGGAGATTGCCTGCTTCGAATTTTGAGTTGCTCGGCCTGGGGGCTTACAATATTGGCGTCAAGGAAACCCTGAGACTTTTTCCGGTTCAAAATCTATCTATCTGTCTGGCCGTCTAACTATCTGTCTATCTATGTACCTATCCATCTAACAATATATATATATATATCGACGCCCTTTACAGTTTAGGGGTGCTCGCTGGTACAGCCCGGAAGCTTGGAATCTTCGGGAGATGAGGCTTCTCATGTTGGAGAGTTGGAGGCCTCAAAAGGCAGGATGAAGGTAGGTACTGTTGATGATATAAATCCTGCATTACCTTAGGGACCCTAAACTATGGGAATTATGGTATATATTCCTTATTATGGGCAATGCAGGACTTATACCATCAACCGTATGAATAAGGATACAGAAAGACTCTTCTTTTGCGACTACTCAGGTAGGATTTAAGGATCCCTTATACATAAGGACTCCTATTTTAAATTTTGGGACTAAGGTAGGATTAGGGATCCCTTATAGATAAGGACTCCTATTTGGGGACTACTAAGGTAGGATTAAGGATCCCTTATACAAAAGGACTCTTCTTTTGGGACTACCCCATCTAGCTTCATCCCACGTCTGAGAATCCGAAGCCCCCAAAGCCTACTGAGGGCCTTCGGGGTTGCTTTAGGGGGTTAGCGTTTAGGGCTTAGGGCTTTTAGGGGTTAGGGTTTTCGGGATACATTCGAAAGCAGAGGCTTGGAGAACAAGCCCTGGATGAGTTCAGTGGGCAATGAGACTTTCCAGACCAAGACGACATGTAGCCAACACCTGCAAGGCGAAATGAAAAAACCCGCCGAAAAACCTCCAAAATATCCAGCAAAGCCAGGTGCTCAGACCCTGATTCTGAACGTGAACCCTAAACCTTAAGACCCCAGACTCTAAATCCGCCCATCCCGTAATATAGGGGCCTTAATAATTGGAATATGGTTTTGGGCCCATTATACTACAGTTAAAATAAGGAACCCCCAAAATAGTATAGGTAATTATTTAGGCCCCTATATTAAACACCGGGAGCCCCTTTGAAGCAGCCCTACACCGGGAACCTCTAACCTCTAAAGCCTCACCTCCAAAACCCATTCTCTACACCTTACACTCTAAACCCTAAACTCTACACCCTACACGCTTAACCCTAAACTCCGAACCCACTGACACTAAACCCGAAGCCCTAAACTCTACCCCTCGAAACTCTAAACCGAAACCCTAAACTCCACCCCCTAAACTCTAAAGCCTCAACTCCAAACCCGAAACCCGAAACCCCTACACCCGGCACCCTAAAAGCTCTACCCCCCTAAACCCCAAACCCAGGGGTTTTCCAGGGCTTTTTTGGTTGCACATGGCCGGAGACCCTTAGGGTTTCCTCTGGCAGAGTGGACGATGGCTCTCCTTCCTTCAAAGAGAGCCTTTGTCGAGGCTCTAGGCAGGCAGGGTTTTTTGGAGGGTTTAGGGTTTTAGGGGGTTTAGGGGTTTCCGGGGATTCAGCACTCACAACTGAGACAGGGGTTCAGGGGTTTGAGGGTATAGGGCATAACTTCATTTATCGTAACTAAGATGGAATGTAAAAGTAACACCAGAGATCCATGCAAGATATCTCACTCGTTTTGCAACTTCCTTTTTTCGTGGGGCATCTTTGAAGGGATAGCCGTGGCCAAAGCTGGGTACAGTGTGGCATGGGAGCACTGGGCTCACTCGCTAAGCCCAGAGAGCCCAAAGCCCTGTAAGCAAGGACTCGGTTCTAGTATCTTACCCAAGCTTGTTGATGCATCAGGTTTAAATGTTTAACAGATACAACGTATAACATACAGTCTATGGTATCTAGTAAATAGTCTATAGCATATAGTAAATGATATAGGGTATATAATGCATACTAACATGTGCAGATATACCGATATCTATATATATATATGTGTGTGTGTGTGCTCTACAGTAGATAGTAGAAGGATATCACGCCAACCAGAAGTACAATATACAATATGTAGTATTCTATTTACAATATAATACAAAACCATAAAGAAATACATATATATATATAGAAATAGACACATATAGAGAGAAATACACATATGGTATAACATGCAATATATAGATATGATATACATAATATATATATATATACATACATATATATGTATATATATACATACATATATACATATATATATATAGAGAGAGAGAGAGTCTCTCTCTACATATATATATATGCATTATGTAACATATCTATATAACCCTATACACAGGTTTGCAAATTCTGCATTACTGAACACATCTCTCTCTCTGTCTATATATATGTATGTATGTATGTATGTATGTATGTATGCATACAACCTGTTAATATAGAAACTATGAGTTCTTCCCCCATAAAACCTTGGCAATTGGCCAAACATACTCAAGTACCGTGCGCCTCGAGACAAACAAACAAACCCTGTGATGCGAACGTTGGGTTCCCCTGCCCTGCAGAACTACTATACAACACGTCTCTATGCAGTTGGGGAAGAAAGTCAACGAGAGCGTTGGGTTCCTCTGCCCTACAGAAGTACCATACAACAGGTCTCTATACAGTTGGTGAAGAAAGTGAACGAGAGGCCCATGCCGGGGTTGTGCTACATGCCGGGTTCTGTTCGGGGAACTGCACCAAGACCAGCTGACGACAGCATCCGACTCCAGGCCCTGAGCCATCTTCGGGGACATGTTCCCTAATCCCTTTTTTGAGCAGGGTTTAGGGTTTAGGGTTTAGGGACCCTAAGTCAATTCTAGCTTTCGAGAGCTGTTGCAGACGGGCATAGTGATGCCGGCACCTCAGCTTATAGGCTTTGGGTCCTCCGGGAGATGTGACAGCCCGGAGACTCCAACATCCCTCGTTGCGGAAATTCCGGAGGTCTTCTTAAAGCTCTCAGGGAGAAAGACCCTTTTCAGTGTGTATCAATGAACAGTGGATCCTTCGAACTATCCTCTGATTCTCCATACAGCCTATAAACCCTGGTGATGATTAGTAACCCTAAACCAAACCCTAAACCCCTAAACCCCTAAACCCTAACCCCTACAACCCTCATTAGGGGCCCCTCAGTTGAGAGATGTTGGCGTCTCTGGGCAGGGTGGGCTCGAAGCATTCTGCCGGAGACCTTGGGTTGGCGGCGCAGCTTCGGGACCGGCGGCTTTCTGCTTCTCGGCCTGGGATTGATGTTGCCTTGGCTGTCTGTCTATGATTAGGGTTTAGGGTGTAGGGTTTAGGGGTTTAGGGGTTTAGGGTGTCTGTTTATGAGAGGGTCTTTTTTTAGGTTTACAGCGAGTACGATTAGATGGGGGGAATGCGATGGAGCACGCACGCTGCACATCAAGCCGTGTTCCAAGCTTCCAAGGTGCCGCCGGGCTTGACGACCCCGCTGCGCGGCTTGGATTCTCTGCGCCGCACGCATCTGTTCTTCGGATTGGGGAGTTGCTTGGCAGCCATAGGAAGCATACCTGTCTCAGGAACTTCTGGGACGACATGGCATGCCCTGCTTGTATCAAAAATGAAGGAAAAAGATTTCCAATGTGAAGTCAAGATTCTCCTCCACCGGTATGTCTGCCTGAGCAAGGAGGGCTGATGGAAGCATGTTCACGGGCCACGTAAACGCAAAACAACAGTACACACAACCTTGGAAGGCCGACGCCCCGCTGAATTCTTGTATACAGGTCTATAGAATTCGACTAAAGGGCTTTGCGGATGTTATGCTAGCTGTATACTGTACATTTGTAGACAGATAGATCCATGGACAAGTACATCTAGTACAACAGGTTACCTACGCAGCCCTATATGGAGGAACCCGGCGCCCTAAACAAAGCGAGGCTGCAAAGTCGGCCGCCAGTTCGTCGCCTTGCTCCACCGCCTCACAGATGGCCCAGAAAGTGGAGATTGCCATGGGCCCCGGGACTTCACCTGGGCAGCAGTCGCCTTTTTCTTTCAAGGGCCTCTGTTGGGTTTGAGGGTTTAGGAGTTTAGGGGTCGGGACTTCACCTGGGCAAGAGTTGTGAGAATTTGGGGTTCTAGGACTGGCACTCAGAGTGCAGACCGTGACGTTGAATCTGCGAGGAGCACTGCCTAAATCTGAAGCTCGAAACAGACCCACGGTCAACTATGCAGTCATGGAGAATACGCCCATAAACGGTCTTATATAACCAATTTTGTAACATATACCCTCAAGCCCCAATTCTGATTTCAGGCGCCTATAGTACTAGAAGCAATGCGCCGGCAGGCTTCGCTGGGCCCGCTAGCCACGGCGTCGCACCCTGAAACGTTAAGGTTTAAAGCCGCTTAAGATCTAGGGTTAGAGAAAATAGTTCCACGTAACACACTATATAGCAGCTATGACTATGACCCTTTCTCTACCTCAAGCCTAAACCCGCCCACAAAGGAAAAGCTTTAAAGACGGCCTAAGGCATAGGGCCGACCAGATCGATGAGTCACTGTGCTCCAGGAAGCCCGCCCACAACTTTTCGGCCTGCACCTGAGACACCTGCCATGGTAGGGACCCTAAACCCTAAACCCTAAACCGTGGCTCTCGTAGGGTGTAAGGCGTTTTGGGGGTTCCGGGTTCAGGGTGGGTCCCCGATAGCGAGGTTTGCCGTTCAGAGCTGAGGGTCTCGGGCCTCGCCATAGTTTCATGGCCCTGTCCTTTCACATCTAACAACGATAGGTTCCTTGGCTAGGAAACACAACTAAACGCAAGCTACCTTTTTTTCTGTAAAGTGTTTCCCAGAGTCCTAATCTAATACCGGGTTTGCAGGGAACCTGCACAAAAGTATGCTTTGGTATAATACAGTCTTCGGGTACACACTAAGGAGTATCTCAACAGGAACCGCGAGTTGGAACAACTGAAGCCGATGTTCAGGTAAGGCAGACGGGCAACAAGGCCAAAGAGCAGTTGGGCTTGGGGTTTAGCTCTTTAGGGCGTCGGGCCTGGGGCTTGGCTTTGTGAAATCACACTTTTTTGTTCGGCTGTTTGCGGCTCAGGGTGTAGGAAGTTGGGCGTATTTGGACAGCAGCCGTCGAGCTAGGAAGACTAGACGTTTGAGCATTGATAAAAGTAACCCACTATTATTTGCATCTGGATTTGGGAAGGCCGGGGACAGTCTAAATCCCAAAGAGCTGTGGACTGTCCGGGCTTCGCAGGTTTAGCTGCAACGGTGCCTTGCATACTCTCTTACACGGTTTCGGTAGGGTGACCTAAACCCTAGCCTGAACCCGAAACACAAGCACCGGTTGCGAAGCCCCCGTACCATCATAGCTTGGACAGTACTCTTCCTAAGCCTCAAACACCAGACACCCCCAAACCTCCACCCTGATCGTTGCAAACTCGCACCCCTGTAATTACTATAGAGCCTAAGCGCTTCACTGGTGTGGGCCGTTTTAAAGTTTTTTAGAGTATATTATTGGGGAACATCTTTCAAATATCAATGCACGAAGTATTGAGGCCATTCGGTTAATGAATATCGAGTCCTATAACCCCTGATTCAGAAAATCCTGTTGTGCCGCGTAAACCCCCAAGTAAGTAACAAAGGGATGGATGCCAAACCCTTTACTGGCTGTATAAACCCTATGCAAACCCTATAAGCCCTAAATCTCAGACCCTAAAACCCCTAATTAAGCCCTAAACCCTAGTATATGACCTCTATGTAAATCTTAGGCCTCAACCCTGAACCTCGAACCCGAAAACCCGATTAAACACCAAGCCTAAACTTCAATGGATGAAGACCCACCTTCGTCGGGGAAGATCGGAGCAAAGCTTCTATGAAGGCGTGCTCCTGGCAAGATTGGTCTTAAGGTTTGGGGTTTCGGGTTTAGGCTTTTAGGGTTTATAGGGTTTAGGGTCTTAAGGTTTGGGGTTTAGGGTTTAGGCTTTTAGGTTTTGGGGGTTTCGGCGCACACACTCGGAAAATCCAGGCAAGGCATGTGGTAACGAGTCGACTAGGTGAGACGATTGACTGTCGGACCAGGAAAATGTTGCACCACCATCCCCATACAGGATGGCCCCCGGTGCTTTAGGGTTTGAATCAAGGGGGCGACGGTTTTCGTGTTTCGGGGGTTTGTTCGATTTGGGATAAAGCTCAGAAGCTGAACAAGGTATGGCAATGTCCCGATGCCATCTCGAAGCAGATTGATGTGTTGGATGATGCGAGGGCACTGAGATCTGCCTTTCAAGTTTGGGGTTTGAGACATTCAGTGCTTCAGGCCCTAATCCCTAAGCCCTAAACCCTAAACCGAAACCCTCAACCCCTAAACCCTAAACCCTAAACCCTAAGCCCTAAACCCTCAACCCCTAAACCCTAAACCCTCTGCGGGCTCCTCCAGGGTGCCATCGAGAGCGACTCTTTCGAACCTGGCTTGTTGGCTTAGGGTATAGGGGTTTAGGGTTTAGGGTTTAGGGTTTAGGGGTTTAGGGTTTCGGCCTAGCGCTACTCAGAGTCGCCCAGCCAGAATTCGTATCCGTGGCCGAGGTATAAATGTAGGTTTTATGTCTTATCCATATTCCAAGCCCTACTGAAACCCTAAAACATAAAAGGCAAGGCAGCAACCCGAAAACCTACCAAAACCAAGACCGTAACTAAGTGATACTACGGAGGTTAGAGGCATGAACAACTATGTCGGTTAAGGGTAAAGGGTGTTGGGGGGTTACCCTCACACTAAGCCTCTACAGAGAGTCATGTTGCAAAGAACATGCTTGCTTAGACATGGCTGGCTTTCTGGATACCAATTACATGGCATCTCCGACGGTTAACCCTAAACCCTAACCCGGAAAATCATCCCAGGCGCTCCATGGCCCATTCCTTCCGCTGTTCTGTTGCGGCCGCGACCACCGCAGAAAAGTCGACCTTCTTGCCTTGTCTTCGGAGCTTCAGCCGACGGAGGGCCCGCTGAAGTGTGATTGTGCCTGTTGAAAAGCTTTGCAAACAGGTCCATGTAGGGTTTAGTTAGGGTAGTCCACGGACCCTCTAACTTGGAGGCATTCATGCTTTCCTGGGTTGGAATCTTGCCCGTAGGGAGTCTGTTTATTGCACGCATTTGACAGCCTTCGGTTTATATAGGGTTCTTTTAGTGGTGAAGGGCGTTCACAATTTTTGGGGCTTAGGGTCCATTGCGAAATCAACCTAAAACCCTGAACCCAGGTCAAGGTACTTTTCTTCACCAGATCCTTCTCGCGACGGACCAGTCGCCCACGCGCCGCGGCCTGCACCCTGGTTGAAGCCGCATGAACTAACTCTTCCGCCTTCCGCGTCGCATCTTCGATCCTGGGTCATCTACTCTTGGTTTATGAGATCATAGGCCCTAAAAAGTTTACACTTTCGGTTTTTTTTTATAGGGGTTTGTATTCTCCCAAAAAGCTTAAAGTGGAGCCATTCAGCTACTAGGTACTTGAAGGTCCAGGAAACTTCTAGTAAGTGCTTAGAGTCCTACTTCCCAGGTCCGCTTTATCCTTCAAGTAATCCGGGCTGTAGCATCATGAGCTCCAAAGTCCACCCTGAATCTCAAGACCTTGCTCCCAAAACAGAAAGGCACTAAAGCCTCGAACGGTTTGAGGTCTAAGCCTGCCTAGAACCCATGAGCTCCACCGTAGCAAAATTCTCTGCACATTGCCATAAACCTACCAAGGCTTAAGCCCTAATTCGGGTCGTTTTTGCCTCCCACCGAGCTATAGGACGAATCCGGGTCCAGGGTTTAGGGAACAGGGTTTAGGGTTTAGGGTCTACGGTTTACGGTTTAGGGAACGCCCTCATTGTCCATCCGTGGCTCCGCAACCTGGACGCTCGAATGGCTGCGATGTCTCGCTTTGCTTCAGCCAAAGCATCCGGCGCAGGTCCTAGGTTAGGGTTAGGGTTCAGGGTTTCGGGTCTAGGATTATGTTGCTAGGTTTCGGGTTCAGGGATTAGGTTGGCCACTGTATCTTAAGTTTAAGCACGGTCTAAGGCCCACATTAAACCGTCTCCTAATGGCCTGCAATGCTCCGAGCATGAGCGCTCTCTGCAGGCCTCTGCTCAACAAGCGCCCGACCACGAAGCGCGTGGCTGCGTGGTTCTCCAGCGTTTTCAGGCGTGGAGCGGCGCGCGAGTAGAGGTATCGCAGGAGGCTTTTTGTGGCTTTTGGCTCTGAGGGCCTTGAGAGGGTTGGGGGCTCGCAGGTAGCAGTGGCCTTCCTCGGCTCCTCCAAGTGACCTGCCATGATCTTCTTGCGAGCCTCTTCGAAGATATCTCTGGTGACTATCCCGTCGCCATTGAGATCGAAATCTTCGAATCCATAGGCCTCTAATGGATGTGAAGCTGTCTTGCCTGCTCTTGTTGAAGCCCTCGACAGAGCACCGTCCACAATCTCATGGATCTTGCTCTCCAACTTTTGCCACACCTTGGCGGAACTCAAAAATCCACTAGAACCGCTGCCACCGGCCCTTTAGGGATGCCCTGACCCTGCAAAACAACGCCAAGGAGCTCTCTTCTGAAGCTCCTCTCCGAGACGGCTCACCGCCGAGCTGGTAGCTGGATTAGCAGGCGCGGATGAAACCGCCTCCGGCGCACAACCCTAAACCCTGAATCCTCTAAACCCAATTAAAAAACCACAAACCCCCGAACCGAAGCCTACAATCTTATCTCCTAAAACCCGAAATCCACGCACGCAAGCCCCATAGATCCTAAACCCTCAGCTGCCCTAAACCCTAAAACCCTAAAGCCCTAAAGCCTAAATACCTAAAACCCCTAGAACCCCAAAGCCCGCCTCCAGGCGCACCACAGCCTCCGACAGCTCCGAGACAGACCTGCTAACGGCATTGACTTCCATCTGCCTCAAGGTGCCAAGTGGGGGCTTCCGAAAATAGGGGACCCCAATATAGTACCCTAAATTGTAGGATCCATATTATAAGGTACCTTTCTTGGGGTCCTTATAACAAGGGTCCTACTATTAAGGGTGCTATATTAGGGTCCCCTATTTTTTCCAGGTGCCAAGTCGGTTTTCATAATCAAGGGACTAAAGGAGAGACCCTGAAAGGGACCCTTGGGGTCATACAGGCGCTTTACGAGACTATATAAGGGCTATGTAAGGGCTATATAGGGTATTAGGATTAGGGGTCCCTTAACCCTCCTATTGTCCCTTAGTTTAAGGCTGAGGGGGGGTTTAGGGCATACCGGATTGTATACCCCAGGTGCTGGGGATCTGGGTTCTCGATGTTCCAAAAAATTCACGGGCTTGGAAATGGGATTCTAGCAGTTCTGAAGGTTTCTTGTACGCGTTTTGGGATGTAGGGTTTACCTGAGCCACGCACAAGTACATGCTCCAGGGTTCTTTAGGTTAGGTTAGGTTGGGTTCGGTTCGGTTGGGCTTGGCATACTCCATGGTTTCGGAATTGGGGCTGTTGGCTTCAAATCAAGCCGGCTTCTGTGTCAAGTTCGCAAGTAACACAAAGCCTCAGGCTCAACAGTACATGCAACATGGTACCAAAAAGCCGAGGCACATGCTCTGTTTGAGCTCCCAGCTCAATATCCGCTTTGCTGCTGCGATCTCTTCTCTTGCAATGCCCAAATTTTGCGCAGCTGGCAGCATGCGGCGAATGGCATCCACATCGTGATCCTATAAGCTCCAGGAGAACACAAACATGAACCCAAACTCATTGAACAAAAAACCCACACCCTGAAGCCCAAGAGCTTTGTAAACCCTAACATCCCACAATTACCCTACCCTCTAAAGTCTCTTAAAATCCTGTAAGAACCTACAACGCCCGCCTAAAGCCTAAGCCACAAAGCCCAAACCCTAAAACTTAACCCTCTTTAAGCCTCCATTGCCGCCCTAAGCCCTTCTAAGCACGGACTGAGGTGCCGGGCAGCACCCCAACCCCTAAACCCTGAACTCTAAATCCTAAACTGCCTAAACTTCTAAACCCAAATCCTAAACCCAAAACCCTAAACCTAAGCCCTAAACCCTACACCCAAAACCCTGTAAACCCTACAAACCCTAACTTCAAACGGGGTCCTCCATGGCCCCGGCGAGTTCCAGCTGCACACTGGCCTTCTGAATTTCCCGGCTGCGATCTCCTTCCTCCTCCCTCCTGCTTAGAGGATCAGGGTCCCTTTAAGGGGTTCCTTTAAGGGTTCCTTTAAGGGGTCTCTTTAAGGGTCCATTTTAAGGGTTCCTTTAAGGGTTCCTTTAAGGGTTTCTTCAAGGGTTCTATAGAGGCTTCTGTAGTGTTGATAATAACCTTCTGCTTGGAGGATCAGGGGTCGTAGAGTAGGTAGTAGGTGGGGTGAGGAGATAGGGTTTATAGGGTTTAGGATTTCGGTTTAGGGTTTAGGGTTTCGGGTTTAGGGTTAGTAAGTGGGTTTATAGGCACCGTAATTAATTGGGGTTTGAAGTAGATATAACTGCACTTACCTTATTTTGGAGGTTTAGGGGTGCTCTGAGGTTTTAAGGCCAAGGGTTTCGGGGCTTGAGATTTTAGGATCGGCTTGTAGCATTCAGAGGTCTCCTGCTGGTTCGAAGGCTGCTTCGTCTAGCGGCTGCTGCCGCCTCGGCGTCAGACAGAGAAGCACTGGAGACTGCGTCACAGACATGTGTTCTTGCGTTGTATTTTGCCTCCGGCATTGCTGAGCGAATCACAGGGCAGGGTTGCAGGTACTTGGTTTGGATGATTCGGATGATCCTCTTCTGGTCTGTTGCACCCGACCCTCTCAATCAAGCCGTATAGACCCTGAGCTCAAACCCCTAACACCCTTTTGCATCGGGCCTGCCTCGTCGTCCGGTGATCTCCCTCTGCACAGAACATGTGTCGACTCATGTCAAATCAGAGACGATCGCGCCCGCGAAACCCTACACCCTACACCAGCCCGTACACCCTTAAACCCTAAACCCTAAACCCCTAAACCCTGAAGCCTAAGCCCCTAACCCCCCGAACCAACAAAGCCTACGCCCCTTTGAGTTTCGTCGGGGAGCCGACGGCGACGGCAGCCCAAGAAGCGCTTGCTTCATGGGCGAGGCTGGGGCGGACGGTGGCTGCAGCGTAGGATCCGGAACTGCAGAAGACCTCCAGGGCTAGGGTTTAGGATTTAGTAGAGTTTAGGGCTTAGGGTTTAGGGTTTAGGGCGTTTCGGCGTTCACACTCGGACAATCCAGGCAAGGCACGGGGGTCTAGGGTTCAAGGTTTAAGGATGTCAAAAGAAGGTGTTTAGGGTTGAGCTGCTGTGGGGTGTATAGCTTCTATAGCTTTAGGGAGATAGGGGTCTATGGTTTCGGGCGCTTAGGCTCAGGGACGCCCGCAAAAGGCAGGCAAGACTTCTTCAGGCGTTTGGGGTTTAGGTGCTTGGGGTTTAGAGCCTCAGGGCTTCGGGGTTTAGCACTAACTAAACCCTAAACCCTAAACCCCGAGCCTTAGGGCTTCGGGGTTTGGGGCAGGGACCGATCATCGGATGCTCGCAGGGAGGAGGCCGCTTCTTCCGAAAGAAAGGCACCGAAAGGCCCGAGCTCGCCCGCTTTGGGGTTCAGGGTTTAGGGCTTAGGTTTAGGGCTTTAGGCTTTAGGGTTTAGGGTTTAGGGTCCAGGTAGGGTTCGGGGCTTATAGGGTCTAGAATGACGACCGAGCTCGCCCGCGCAGCGCTTGGAAGTTCACGCACTACTTGAACATCAGTGCACTTGGCGTACTTGTAGTCCCGCCATAAGTCCCTGACCTATCTGTTTTCACATTATGTGTATATGCATACATACATACATACATACATACATACATACATACGTACATACATACGTACACATATACATGTAATTACACATATACATATAATTAAACATATACAAGTACATATACATATACAGAAACAGATACATGTACGCTCTCTGTGTGTTAGTCACCTACTTGCTTGTAAGGCTGCAGGACGTAACAGGTGCAGCTGCACCTGACAATTTGCTACAAGACACCAGATCACTTAAACACCGCAATGGCCAGAGTGCAGTAAACTCGATACCCTAAACCTTAAACCCTAAACCCTAGTACCCTAAACCCTCGACTCTCAACAACAATCCCCAAATTCCCTGCATGCAGTAGGTCTGCACCGGATAAGGCTGGACTTGCAAGACCTTCGTCAAGGTCGGCATCGAGAGTTGCTTGGCACAGGGTGCTGTTGAAGGGTTCAGAGTTTCGATGAAACCCTGTCAAGCCAGGCTCCAAATCCCTTAGCCCCTTAGGTCCTAAACCGTGAACTCGAAGTCGCAACATCAAACCCTGCACTGCCAGACTGAATAAGGTTTACTACCCATTGTGGACAGGGAACTTAGCGACCAGGATGAAATCGGATCTTCTGTACATTTCGGGTGCTGGCGGCCTTCTTTGATTACAGTATACTGCTGAGTGTAGGTATGGAGCGTCGGTTTAGGGCTTAGCTAGCCTCATAAGGGTTTGATATAGAAGCCGGAATATTACCAATACTGGGCTTGAGGGTTCCTTATTACAAAGGACTACCCCCTAATCCCCTAAAGCCCCCAAACCCCCTAAACCCCCTAAAACCCTGAGCCCCTAAACCCCCAAACCCCTGAACCCCCAAAACCCCTACCTAAACCCCTAAACCCTAAAAAGCCTAGTCTTATGAAGTCCGGGCCTTCTTCTGCTGCCCGGAGGAATCCTCGCCACGGCCGTGGGCCTCACGAAGATTCCGTAGTCCGGCTGGCAGTCCTCAGCGGTTTAGGGGTTTGGTGGTAGGGGCTTCAGGGTGTATTTAGGGGTTTTGGGTTCTTTTTTTTCGGAGGTTTAAGGTTTCGGGTTTGGGACTGGAAGGGCTTAGAGTTTCGGGGTTGCGGCTTTCGGGGTTCAGGGTTTAGGGTCTAAGCGTTTAAAGGGTCCATTATGGTCTATAGTTTATAGGGTTTCGGAGGCATAGGCAAAAGAGTACAAATTTGTGCAACTCCAAGCATCAAAGTAGGCTTTGCCCTTGACGCAGCCGTTGTTCTTGCCCGCCTGAACCAGTGAAGGCCCGGTACAAGGGCTCCGGGGTCTAGGGTTTAGGGTATTTTTCCCTCTCGCATGGCTAAGGATCAATGCCCACAAGCGAGGTTGTTGTGAGGAAACGCGTAAAGAGTGACTGTGCAAAGCAAGGCTATTCCAGTACTGATCAGACCTAGCCCTACTTAGACCTGCGAGATCAGCAACTGATGAACACCCTTGCTTGTCTAGATCATGTCACGCTCAATGCTCCCTAATTGCACACACTACAACCATAAGGTGAGCACGCAACGTGACACAACCAGAGGACTACAAAGAGTCACAAGACCAGCAGACTGTACGAGCAGCAAGGAAATTAGCCGTCGCACAAAGGCAACACGGCACAGACTACAAAAGCTCCAGCAAAATGCCGACGAAGAGCATGCAAAGAAATTACCAATTACTAATTACAAATTAAACTATGCACCACTCACTCACTCACTCGTCAAGAGCTTGCAGAAGCTTCCAAAGCCAGCCATGACAGAAGGCAAGTCAAGACGACAAACCAGCCCTGACAGAAGGCAAAGTCATGGACCACCAAAGGTACAGCAGTAGACCTCCACCATGATGGGATGCTCTGTATGGCACAGCGCAGAAAGTCTTCTGCTTCACTCAATATTCCCTCACTTGTTCAAGATAGCGACTGGGTTTCACCACAACAAAACGAGCCCACAGGAAACAGGTGCACCACATTGGCCCAAGCCCTCCATGTCCATGACAAAGCCAAGAGCAACTACAGAAGCAGATTACCCGCTCCGTAATTCGTAATTGCTCTTTTTGGCGTCAACGTAAGAAACATGGCTCATCCAGTTACTGAAAAACCAGATGTGGTTGTGAGTGCAAAGCCAGACAACCGTTCCTGAGATGCCATCCGGTCCAGACACACTGATGTGTAAGGCCAAAGTGCAGCGCCAAAGCAGTCTGGGTGATAACCATGACCCATGTGTAGCGCCCAAAGCAGTCTTGGTGATAACCATGAGACCATGTAAAGTTATATAGGGCTCCATCTCTGACCAAATCGCACCAGCTTTCACACTGAAACGATGACTGTCGACCCCACCATCTTCAGAGCTCAAAGCATAAAGGTCAGAGACACCGGCCATGGCAAACGAGGTTGTCACCCAAGAAAGCCTCAAAGTCCGAAACAAAGCCCTAGGAAAGGCACAAAGATCCCTCAGCTT